TTAATGCATGCTGGCATTACTGTTCAATAATGGTTGTTAGTTATTACTGGTGGAGGTGATTGGGCATATCTAGTTCCTTCTCAGTGACTACTAGCATCACAGGTGTTCTCTAAATATTTGTTGAATAAAAAACACAAAGATTTTATTTACAATGTGATTCGAGACTTTGAGGCCAAAGGCAATGATCACAGAATGAGCCTGAATTCTGAGGATTCTGTGTATTTTAAATTTATAGAATGTCGGAACTACAAGAATCCATACAGGTCTCCGGTTTTAGCCCTGCTTAGTTTATAGATGAGCAAACAGAAGTCAAAAATTCACACCACCCCAGTGAGGCAGCCTGAGCAGGATTTTTATCCCCATTTAGGAGAAGCTAATAACAAGGGTTCTTAGCCTTGTAATACTCCACGGTACCTTCAATTAGTTAATTAGATGGCATGTAAAATTCTCAAGACACATTGAAAGTACTGTTCATCTTGATTCTTGATTAGAAGTAAACATCGACCATACAGAAATTCTCAAGGGATGTTGATGATAATCAGTAAAGCAAACCGGGGCTGCCCCACTAACTCCAGGGGCCGCAATTCCCATCATCATCTATAAAAACGGTACCCTCTGGAGTATATGCCCAACATAGCTCTGGCCCTGACTGAGAATTGTCTGCAAGGGTTGATTCGCAGATTTGTTGTATTGGTTATAATATGGTGGCAGGTATAGCCACACTGTGAACCAGATATAGTTCCTATTCATTTAAAACAAACAAACAAATGGACATTCATTCAGCAAATTTACTGAGGACCACGATTCAAGAACTAAACCAGGAAACTATGGACGCCCTCATGGAGCTCACATTATCATGGAGATGTATGAACAGTTCAGAAACAATGGACTGGTTTGATAAAAAAAAAAAAATTAATTTGAATTATGTGATGCAAACCACTAACTAGGCAGCCAGTTAAATTTCTAACAGTGTTACTATGTGTGTTGTAAGGAAGGCACAATGTAAGTAGAACATATACCTGAGAATACACCATGCCAGGAATCTATTTTTTTATAGTTACTTTGCTTCATTTTTCTTCTGAAGATGAAAGTCAATATTATTTTCTCTTGAGGTAATGAGGTAGTCAACAGAAATAACTTGAAGTCTTGAATAAAGTAAGTTGCTAACTGGGTAAAATTTGAAATTTCTAAATAATGCTATAGATTTCAGAGATGTTTAAACATATGCTCAAAATTCCTAATTTTATGCCATATTTAACATTGTGTGATTAAGCCAGATTAAATCATATCAAAGACTAGTATGTTTATAACTCATTGGTTTTCCTCACTCAAATCTACTCCCACCCAGTTTGCCTACCACACAGCAAATTTGTGGCCTTTGATCCATAAATACATCTTTTAAAAAATTAATATTTTCTTTTTCCGTGAAGTGAGTTACTAATCCCTTTATTTCTTCAGAGATATTTCAAAAGAGAACTTGGCAAGTTTTGGCAACCAGGTTATGCTTCAGTAGATGAATAGATAAACTGTGATACATTCAGACAATGTAATATTATTCAGAGCTAAAAAGAATTGAGCCATCAAGCTATGAAAAGTCTTGGAGGAAACTTAAATGCATACTACTAAGTGAAAGAAGCCAGTCTGAAAATGCTACATACTATGTGCTTCTAACTATATGACATTCTAGAAAAAAATCAAACCATGGAGACAGTAAAAAGATGAGTGGTTGCCAGGGGTTAGAAGGGAGGGAGGGATGAATAGGCAGAACACAGAGATTTTTTTTAGGACAGTGAAACTATTCTGCATGATACTATAATGGTGGATACATCATACATTGGTCCAAATCCATAGAATGTCCAGCACCAAGAGTGGACCATAATGTAAAGTATGGGCTTTGAGTGATAATGATGTGTCAGTGTAGGTTCATCGATTGTAACAAAGGTACTGCTCTGGGGGATGACATCGATAATGGGGAAGGATATGCATGTATGGGGGCAGGGAGTACATGGGAAATCTCTGTCCCTTCTGCCCAATTTTGTTGTGAACCTAAAACTGCTCTAAAAAAAGAAGGTCTGTTAGAAAAAGAGGCAGAGAAGTTTGGACTATACCTGCGTGTCATTTTCATAGTTCCGTTAGCCAGAACTTAAAAAAACAACAACAAAAAAAACATTTGAATCCATGTAAACATTTTGATTGTTAAATCTTAAGTATGTCTTAGTAGATTAGGATTTCAGGAAAAAAGACACCTCCAAGGTGAAAACGTGTAGATGATGCTTCAGCTCAGAGTGACCTGAGCTCTCAGGGACATTAAAGCTCATTAGCGGGATTCTCCCACAGAAACACTCCCGGTTCTGGTCCTGCATTTCACAGTTCTTAGAAAAATGTTCTCATTGATGCTGGGGTGTTGCCCTCCAGCTGAGAGCCTGAGGTCTTTAACTGAAAGGCAAACATATTGGTTTTATATATCTTGTGCTTTCTGGAGGGTGTAGCTTTTTTATTTTTAAAGCGACAAGGGTGAGAAAATGAAAGGGGAAGATCCAATCACCTGTAACTATATTAAACAGCCCCCCAGCTGTTTATAACTTAACACATCATTCCACCCTATAGGAAGTCTTTAACATATGAAAAGGACATCCTTGTGGGGGTGTGGGGGGGATTGACAGGTGGAACTGGGTGAAATGGGACACTTGCTTTTGATGGTGTGAAAGTTATCTTTTGTGAGTTATTGGTATTCTTCTTCCACTGTTTTCTTAAAGATTAGCCTTAGGGAACTTAAATAATTAGGCATAAAATCTCTGGCAGGATATTTAATCAATCACATCTTGGTTTCAGCCAATGGGAGCGCTGTGGTCAGCTGTGTCCCGGTGTGTTCTAGAACAAGCCACAACCTTGGACAATCCGGTCGCACTGCTGGCATTTCTCTTTATTGTGTAGCCTGAAGTTCTTCTCTGTAGGCAAACCGAAAAGGAGCAGCCAACTAATGATACTTCGAAAGTCTACACCTCAGGGAGAAATTTGGGGATTTTCTAACTCTCAAAGTTCCAGTAAGGATGGGGAGAAGTGATGTAATTTGTGTAGGCTAGTAAAAATGCCCAGTCTGGTTTCTGACATTTCAGTTCATGGGTGTATTAGTCAGGGTTCTCCAGAAAAACAGAACCAGTAGGATGTGCATGTGTGTATATTAAAAAATTATATATATATTTATTTTAAGTAATTGGCTCAGATGATTATGGAGGCTAGCAAGTCCAAAATCTCCAAATGGACCATCAGGATGGAGACCCAGGGAGAAGCTGGCAGTCACGAGCCTATTCTCACGTTTACAGGGGGCTGGGGGACTGAGTCTAGGCTGTGAATTTGAGAATCACACTGCTAACAGAACAAACTCTCACCTCTGAGCTGGTCCAGCCCTCCCCCCCGGTACCACAGGGAGCCCTGTTAGCTTCTCCCAAGCCCTGGTCAGGCCTGGCATCATCTCAGACCCCTGCTTAGGACAGGGGATGTGGCCAGCATGCTTCTTCCTTCAACCTGTTGGTACATTTTCTTGAAAGAATAAAAGTTGTCTTTCTCCTGTGGCGAAAAAAAAAAAAGTAGGATAACAGCAATAGGATGAGCCTAAATAATAAAAAATAATAGCTAACAGTTATTTGGTACTGTGTGTCAAGAATGTTTGAATCCTCACAAAAGTCTGTGAGGTAGCAAATACCCTGGAATCGATAAACTGTGCTCAAATCCCAATTCTCCCACTCACTGGCTGTGTGAACTTGGTAAATCCTTTAGCCTCTCTGTACTTCAGTTTCCTTACTAGGAAAATTAAGAATAATCACAGCATGCACTGGTGAAGATTATTGGGAAGATTAAATGAGTGATCCCACACCGAGTATGTATCAATAGACCAGTGCCTGGTGTATTAGAAGCAGTCAGTAACAGTCAGCCGTTGTCATTATAGAGGAAGATAGAACAAAACAACGGCGGGGTATAGGCATGACAGCCATCTGAAACCTAGAAATGGTGTATAGGCTGGGTATCCCCGCATGAGAATATCCAGCATATTTGTTAAGTAGATAAATGAACACATCCTTCCACTGAAGTCTTATAACCCTCAAGTTCAACCGAAAACACCCCATTCCAGTCTCCCTTGGCAAACCCACAACCAATCTTGCCAACGAGAATATGAAGGGAGTCCTGACACTTGTCATGTGTGTTCTTCAGTACTTACTTTTGATTATGTTGATTGAGTCTGGATTAAATACAACCACCTTATGCATGAAGTTTCACCTAGAGATGGAGGCAGATTAAAGGGCACGGCAGCATAAAATAAAAATGAACCACCCAAGATAATTCAGGATGTGCTAGCATGAGGGACTCACAGACCTGAATTTCCCCGTGTTTATTTTATTGTGTCTCAGGCTACAGGAATTATCTCGCAGAAACATTTTTCGACTTAACGGTAATCTTGGGATCTCCGTACTGAAAACCAATGTGCATTTTGTTTCATTCTAGAGTGCTTCAACAACAGTAGCCTAAAATGCTTTAGGATACTCTTTGTGCCATAAGAAGTGAGCCACCGCCAGTAGACCTTAGATTTCCTGTAACTCAGTCAAGGACATTTTGTAGCCATAATGGCCCAAGTCACAGGGGAACTACTGGTAGGATCTTTAGGTTTAAGTGACTTCTTGATTTAACGTCTTAGGGCTGAGTTTCTCCACTTTTCCTACCCTTATTTGTGAAACTGAACTGATTTCTGAATGTAGTTTGCTCGCCACTTTTTTTTTTTTTTAAAGAACATGTTGGGGGTAGGAGTTTATTAATTAATTAATTTATTTTTGCTGTGTTGGATCTTTGTTTCTGTGCGAGGGCTTTCTCTAGTTGTGGCAAGCGGGGGCCACTCTTCATCGCAGTGCACGGGCCTCTCACTATCGCGGCCTCTCTTGTTGCAGAGCACAGGCTCCAGACGCGCAGGCTCAGTAGCTGTGGCTCACGGGCCTAGTTGCTCCGCAGCATGTGGGATCTTCCCAGACCAGGGCTCCAACCGGTGTCCCAGGCAGTAGCAGGTAGATTCTCAACCACTGCGCCACCAGGGAAGCCCCGGGAAGCCCCTGCTCACCACTTTTAACTATTTGGTTTCTTTTCCTTCTCTGACTTTGCTTATTGCTGCTTTGGAGACCGATGCCCTTGTCAGTTTCTTTTGCCTGGGGCTTTGGCTAAATGAGAACTTTCAAAACCCTCACACAGTTACTCTCTGACCCTGATAGAATCTTGCTTCAGAGCACTCCCCCTAGCCTGAAAACCCATGCCCTAGGCCCCATATAGTTGTTTTCTCCTGGTGGCCTCAATCTTTCAACTCTAAGTATGGAAAACCAAAAAACGGCAACAAATGATTTTATGCTAACTAGGTTGAAAGGGATTCTCCAGTCTGCTATTAAAAAATCAAAAACCAGTTAGACCATCACGTGGAGGCCAGCGCATTGTTAGGTAATCAAGGTTATTCACTAATGTTTTGACAGCTCCACTTAGCATAAAGGTCAACTGGAGACACTTCTGACCACATAGGCCCTCACACAATGTTTTATTGACTTGGCTGACTTATAAATCCTATGTCCATGAGATAATTGGCAACACACTCCTTCACAGATGTGAGTTATGCAATCAGGGTGGGAAAAAGAGCTACTGAAGCTGACTTGCTGGAAATCTTTACTTCCAATCTATAAAACATAATAAGGTTAAGAATAGAAAAGAGTGCCAAATACCAGTGTTTTGTAAAGCGGTTTACAAATGTAAGGCAACATTGTCGGCATTATCAAGATTGATTGATCGTCTATCTATCTATCTATCTATCCATCTGTCTATCCAGCTATCTCTCTATATCTATCGATCTACCTATCTATTCTAAGACGTCTAAACCTGAGGACTCCATTAAATGTCAAGATAATCAGTGTTACATATTTTTATTTTTTGCAAATAGTCCTCCAGACCTGTACAGTGGAGACCAACTTTGGTTTCAAAGACTGTGTTTTAGGTTTTGTTTTTTTTTTCAATGAGTAATTTCTTCTGCTTACCCATTCTTTATTTTGATACTGAGTCTCATAGATCAATTACTACTATTAATCAGCTAGAAGACTAAATGAAATTAATACCACAGACACATGAAGGGTCAGTCTTGCCAGCTGGTGTGAACTGTAAAAGGTGGAGTGTGTGTGTCATAAATTGTTCTGTATGATGATATGACTATTGTTATTTGCAGAAAACTTTATATTTTTTTAGGTCAAGAAGCCTGTAATTCTCCAAGTGATCTCTGAACCTTATTTAATGCAGCAAACCACAGAAGGAGCTGAGCTAAACAGTGTCTGCAAGTTGGAAAGTAATAACTTTCCTCATCCCTTCCGTAAGTGACTTGTGCCTTGTGATGAATGCAGACCCTTCCTTCACGAGGGTTTCCCGATATTATACACTTGTAGCAAATAAGGTTAGAACCTTTAAAATATAGCATTTAGTAATGTGCTGGAAATAGCTTCTTCTCGATTCCTTTAAAGGTCACCGCATTTGCTTTCCAGGCGTCGTTTTAGCTCAAGCCTCTACCCAGTGGAACTGAGATCATGCTTGCCTTTGCGCCTTCAATTTTCCCAAACTTAAGAGTGAAATGGCAGGATAAAGTGGAGTGTGTGTGTGTGTGTGTGTGTGCACGTGCTCTTGTGAGTTTAGATGTAGCAGTGCATTGTCAAGATAATCTCAATGTTGGATACATGCACGCGGCTTCTTCAGTTGGAGGTAAGGTTAGGCTTGTATTATCCTCTGTCCAGAAGCCAAGCTTCTAGGAGTGAAATTGGGCAACAGGTACTAAAGGAAAACAAACTCTGCAGAAAACTCTCAAAGCACAGAAAACTCTTTGTGCCTTGCCTGAGTGCTCCATGTGTCCCCAACCAAAGTATATTAATAAGACCCTAGCCAGGTAAATTAGCATCAACCCACAAGTTTTGCTGCTGTTCCACTGGAAAAAATAAATTCATTAAGCCATTGATATAAAGCAAGAATAGTCAACCGCAGCCTTGCTATCAAAATTAGTATTGGAATGGTAGAGTGAAACAAGAGACAATTTCACACCAACTGACACAAATCAAGGCCAAACTGGAAAAAAGAGAACGGCTTCTTCTGTAAAGCATGGTTCACTGATTCTAGAATCATCGCTGTCTTTTGTCAGTACTGCCAATATCCTCACCTTCCTCATATCATCAGCACCATTGTTAACCTCATCTTCATCATGTTTATAGTCGGCAGTCATGTTTCCTTTTACAAGTACACTAAAGATGAATAGTGGTCCATATCTGCCAAGAGCCTGCCCTCCATGTTCATGTCCCAGCTAATTCTGATCCCCTCTCTGCACATTAAAAACTCTACCTAGAACTCCAAGCCCAAGGTCGAATTTCTCTTCCTCTTTCTAGGGCCTCTCTGCTGAATTCCTCATAGTAGCCATTGTCTGGCTATTAATAATTTTTCATTTGTAATTATCGTTTTTGGTTGTTAGCCATCTTTTCAAGTGTGCATATTTTGTTGGTTTGGCTAGAATATAAGGGTTTGATGGCAGAGACTGTGTTTCTGTACACTGGTGTAAATACCATATTATTTATATTAGTGCCTTATTAAATGTAGCACTTAATAAATATTCAACAAATATTTATCAATGATTGCAACTTTATAGGGAAGTTGGAGAATTTGTTCATGGCCAAATATCCCTATAAGTGGTATTAAGTTAGCCAGATAAGTTTGTGGAGACTGTGCCATATGCACTCGTGACAGGGAATATGAGTGTCAAGGAAGGAAGGGTGCAAAGAGGTCAAGAAATTTGGAATTTGTATTAAGTGGAGGTGATTTCTCAGAAGAAAAAGGACTTGGCCTGGGTTTTAACATGTTCTATGCACTTGACATGTAAGTTTCACAAAGTCTGTTGAGAGGGTTGGAGAAGATGCTGTGAGGAGGATGTAAACGTGAAATCAGAGAGTTAAATCAGCAGCACAAAGAGGAAGTGGTATTAGTGAAAGTCAGGGTCAAGAGTTTGCATTTGGCAACGTGGATGGACCTAGAAATTATACTAAGTGAAATAGACAGACAGAGAAAGACAAATATCATATGGTATCACTTATATGTGGAATCTAAAAAAATAATACAAGGGAACTTATTTACAAAACAGGAATAGACTCACAGACATAGAAAACAAACTTACGGTTACCAAAGGGGAAAGGGAGTGGAGGGATAAATTAGGGATTTGGGATTAACAGACACACACTACTACATATAGAATAGATAATCAACAAAAACCTACTGTACAGCACAGGGAACTATATTCAATATCTTGTAATAACCTATAATGGAAAAGAATCTGAAAAAGAATATATATATATATATAACTGAATCACCTTGCTGTACACCTGAAACATTGTAAATCAATTGTACTTCAATAAAAAAATTAATCTGAAAAAAAGAGTTTGCATTTGGACTAGACAGATGACAGTTGTCCTTAGAAGATTTTGAATAACTGAGATATGCCCTCCATTCAGTACATGTAAAGGATTGTATTAAAGGCAAGAGGAAGTGAACAGGAAAAGAGGTTACCGTCACTTATGGATGGAATAACCAGAATCTGAGCAGGGTCTTGAGAAAAAAAGGGAGAGAAACGAATGAGAAGCAGAGCGAGCTGCTTAGACTTGCAAAGGAATGAGAGGATGACACTGTCGATGATACTGGAGCCTCAGGGGAAAGCAAGGATTCACCTTTGTTCCATCCCCAGGTAAGAAGGGTGAGCGGTGAAATACTATAATCCCAGCTGATAATGAAAGTAGGTGGGTGGGAGATCTTCTACTCCCTAGTTTCAAAGAAATCTCTCTTTAGGGTCCAGCTCTTGGACAATGATGGGAAGACTTAAGGTTACATAGATTTGAGGCAGGTGAATTGAACTATCCTTAGCCTTTTAGCAGAGAGATGGTGAAAAAAGCCATTGATTGGAAATCAGGTGCTCTGGGGTCTCCACTTGCCATGTCTTTTAACTGCACATCATTAACTTCTCTGAGCTTTGAAAAAACAGAAGGAACAGACTAAATAATTTCTAAGCAAGCTTTCATATTCTGTGTTCTATACTGGGTTTCGGCACACCATTGCTTCAGTAGGTTGGTCAATGAAATATACAGCAACGTGCTTGCATCATTACAAATGAGAGTACAGTACAGACTTGCAGACCCACACTCGTGCAGTGTATTTTCCTCCAACTTGGAAATGTTAGCTGTGTGAGTTTCAGAATAACAACCTGCCATGCGAACTCCCTCCATTTGGGTTATTTATTTGCTGTAAACAAAATGGCACCTCGCTGTAGCTTGGAATCTCTCAGGCACTTTTGAATATATCTACGAGAAGATATATGAATACATTTCCTTGACTGATGGTTCAAAATGCCATCCACACCTGAGTCTGATGAAGATTCTAGCTCCAGCTACCAACTTACAGGAGAGAAGAGAGAAAAGTGTTAACCTATACCATGGGATTGCATTCAGCTTCATCCAGACTGTGGAAAAATCTTCAGGGCATTATTACCTGATTGCCTAACAAACACATTATAAGAAAGACAAAAGAGAAGTGAGATGGAACCCATAGATACTTTAAATGCTTATAAATGAATTATAATATGTGGACTTCATTTGCCTCCTAATTCAAACATACAAATTTAAAAATTATGACGTTCATGCGAACTGTAGATGTGATCACTGACTAGATATTTGATAATTATTTACAAAATATTGCTAATTTTAAAGGCTGTGATAATGGTATAGTGGTTTCTTAAAGATCTGATCATCTTTTAGAGATACAGGAGTTACATACTGAAATATTTACAGGTGAAATTACATGGTATACAGTTAGCTTCAAAATAATATGGGGGAAGGGGTGGCTGAAACCAGGATTGGCCATGTGTAGATTTTTGTTGAGGCTGGATAATGGCTACATAGCAGTTCATTGTACTTTTATGTGCTTAAAATTCTCCACAATAAGAAAAAAAATTAATGCCATCGACTTACACTGAGCATTTTCTTTGATTCTTGGAGCTTTCTTAGTACTTCCTCAGTGACAGGTTGGACTATCCCTACAAGAATGTGATATAGACACTGATGCTTTTTTGGTAGAAGATTATTAATGCTTAAATGGGGAAAGAATTGCTAACAGATATAAAATTTAGTTTTTATTGTTCTAATGGATTCCCCCTTTCCTTCCCATCCTCAGTTTCTAAACTGGGATAAGGAGGGAAAAAAAACAACTTAATTTTTCTGGCATTGCCATCTCTATCGGGAAATCCTTTGGCCTTTTTGTAGAGGCAAGTCCCTAACTGAGAACATCCCCTGTGCACTGACCAGGCCCATCATTTAGACTCAGACTTAATTCTCCTGGAGTCCATGTAATTTCCAACCAATAAATATGCTCTAGAGAGACTTAGGACATTGGGAATCCAAATGAAAAAGCTGTAGTTGTGGACTTTCTGGGGCCCATAGAAAGTTGAGATGAGCCTTTTCCCTTTGCCCTCACATCCCTCCCTATAGTGATATTTGTAGTGGACATTTGTTCTAAGAGTATCCTGATTTTCACTGTTGGATTCTCTTCTCCTCTCCTCCAATAGTCTTTAGAGGAAGCTGACCTCACTCCCTGATCTAGGGGTGGTCTTGGATTGGCTAAACCCAATCAGTACATTCCATTCCCTTGGTTATGGCCGTTCATTCTGGGGAAGACATATGCCCCACATTGGTCCAATCAGTGTGTATCTTAGCACTATTGCAATACTGGGGCAGAAGGAATCTCTCCTACTGGACTTGAGCAAGGATGATTGTATCCCTGACTTTGTCAGACAATTATCCTGCTACAAGTAGGAGAGTAAGTATTAGGATAGAACTCAGGTTGAGGATTGCTGAGCAGAAAGATGAAAAGAAATTGGGTCTTTGGAGACATGACTGAGAAGCTGGATCTGTCAACCATGAAACTGCCGTTCCTTGAGACTGTATTTATTCTGAGGGCCAACAAATCTTGATTGGTTAAGCCAAATGAATTGTGCTTTATTTCATTTGTTTCTAAGAGCATCTTAGCATAAATGGAACATGCTTACCTACTGACATAGAAAAGCTGGAGATAGAATATTTCAGTGAAGAATCCAGGGGTGAGAATATACTGCTCACTTTGCCTCTTAAATGGGTCTATGCTCCATATTGGGTATATTAAAACAAGATTGAGACAATCTAGTTGGAGACATCAAATAAACAAATGTTAGGTGACTAGACAAACTGAAAGACATGATTTTGCTGAGTCTGATCCTGTCTAGTGAACCTGGACAACCAAGTAAAGGGTAGAGGTAATAGGTCAAGATTAGCAGAGTAACCTGAGTGATGTCACTAGATGTCGGGGGCTAGGAGCAGAAGGAAACCTGGGTTTAAACTCCTCCTATTTCTGTTCCCTCTTTGTAAAAACCCATATCAACTGTATAGACCAGAATGCGTGTCCCAGATGGCACTAGATTGCTCCATGAGAATGGACCACACCTGACTTATTCACCTTTGTATGTATTAATTGAATGTCACATGTATGTTAGGCACTGTTCTAGGCACTGGGAAACATTCCAATATAAGGAGATAAGATCAGTAAGCAACTAGACAAGTAAATAATATATAGCCTCTCAGATAGCAATAAATTTCATGGAAAAAAAGAAAGTAGAATAAAGCAGGCAAAAGAGTGCCAGGGAAGAGGGACAAAATATATAGTGGCCAAAAAGGTGACATTTTAGCAGAAATCTGAGCGACATGAGGAGAGAGCCATGTGGACATCTAGAGGAAGAGTTTCCAGGAAGAGATGGCAGCCAGTACAAAGGCCCTTGGTAGGAGCAAGCTTAGCATGTTTGAGGAATGTTAAGGAGAATCAGAGTGGCTGGAAGGGAGTAAATGAGGAGAAGACTCACAGGAGATGAGGTCTCAGAGGTAGTGAGAGACCAGAACATAAGGGTCCTGGAGGCCAATCTAGGCACTTTGATTGAATTATGAATTATTTGGAATGCTATCACAAGTTAAATTGGGGAACCACTATGTTTTACTCATTTCTTAGTTTGAAGATGGAAGTGAAAATTATAATTGCTTATAAAACAAGCCAAACAGAACAGAAGTGGGCAAAGAAAAATGCAAATCTCCTCCCTTCCATACCTTCCTCCCATCCTCTCCCATCTAAACACTCACCGACCCCCTCCAGCCCTAGAAACAGAAATTAACAATTTGTTGGGTAGTCAACTATACATTTTTCCTAAGCTCATACAAATACGTATCTCCCTGCAACACACATAGAATATGTATGTGTGTTTATAATTACTTCTTATTTTTATTAAAATACGATTATATTATGGACTAGTCTCTGCATCTTGCTTTATTTGTGGAACAATATTTTGTGCACCAGGTCAACAGACATCTCACATAATCTTCTCCATCTTGCCATTTTGTTGTTCCTCATTTTCTTACACCTCTCACGAGGATGATGGCAAAGAATAAGATCTGTGATGTAAGTGAGTCCTCCTAAAATTTTCTGATATAATATTCCAGATCATGGATGTCAGTAGAAATAATTAATAAATGATTTTTTACAAGTTCAGCTCACTCTTGGTGCTGAATCAGAATTTTCTATCTTTCCCTCTAATCATTGGTTTGCACAGGCCTCAAAAGTCATTTTGCCTAGAAATTTGGGACAAAAATCAAGAAAAGGTAAATATTAGAGAGAATCATGGAATTTTGGAATTGAAAGGTACTTAAGATATTACCTGATCTACTCTTCTTCTTTTATTAATTCGATAAATATATACTGAGTGCCTAGTACTAGGTAGGTACCAAGAAAGGTGTTAGAGACAAAAAGTTGTCTAGGACACAATCTCAGTCTTCATCTTAACATCAGGGCAAGTGAAGGCTCAAAGAGATTGGGAGGCTTTCCCAGAACACATTAGGGAAGTGACAAATGTGATTGGAACACAAACCAGTTAAACCAGTTAACCAGTGCAGGGTTCTTTCCATTGTATCTCACAGCATATGGAAGTTTATAACAGTAAATAACTAAAGGCCAGTCCTGAATGCTGTCATTTGCAAAAAGTTTAGCTATTAGAGGTCCATGCAGTGAATGAAATACTAGTTAGACTGCTCTCATCTATCAGGAGCTGGTAATTTACTCTGAAAAATCTAAGTGTAAAAATCTAATTTCAACCCACTTTCTTAGAGGGTAAATTTTATTCCATTTCCTTTTCTCAAGGCTCTGTCATTAGCATATTAAACTAATGAGTGAATCAATTATTTAAAACTGGCAATATTTTTTTATTATGTCTAATTAAGTGTTTAATCAGGACATTCTGGTCTTTAATTCTGAAAACAGCATTCACCACAGGATGAATGAAATGGCTGGGTGGAACTTTACTCACAACCTCTTGTACGCAGACGACTAGGAAGGAAGCTGGAGGCTTAGAGGTGAAGGTGAACGGGAACGAGTCACAGAAGAGACAGGAAGTGACAACAAGCCTAATCGTCAGCAGCTGAGCATGATGACTGCATGTTTCTGAACAGACGACAGTGGGGAAGGGTAACTACCACCTCAACTTCAGGATATGGTTCCTGGAGTCTCCATTGCACAATAAAACTGATATATAGGGCAGCTAAAGCATTCTTTGCTTTTCTCTAGACTCCTCCAAGTATTTACCGTATCATTTAAGTGTTAGTTAACGAAGTACCTCAATAGTCATACAATATTTTAAAGACCATCTGAAAAGTATTTAACCAATAATTATAATTCATTTCAGGAGATGTTTTTGATTTCAAAAGCACATACTTAATATTTACCAAGTTCACTGAATCTACTGGTATGCCAACATATTACCTAAAGGCCAAACTATCCTAAAACTAACAGTAAATCATAACAAAAAGATCCCAGAAAATGTCCAGGAGCCACTCAAAGCAGATAGGGAAAGTGGGAGACAGAGGTTAATTCACATATGCATTCCTTTATTCAATGAATACTTATTCAGTGCTTCCTGTATACCTGAAACACTCTGATTCTTACTAGAGATATAAAAGATAACAAAACAGTCATGATTCCTACTTTCTCAAAACTTGCAGTTTACCAAGAATATGGACAAACTAGAAATTACAATGCCATGTAGTAAATAGTAAGATAATGTTACCAAATCCAAATTCATTCTGCTTACTGCATGACAGACCGTTAAATTGGGAGACGAGGTGTTTGGGAAAGGAATAACAACTTTATTTGGAAAGCCAGATGTCTGAGAGGATGGCAGACTAATGTCCTAGAGAGCCATCTTACCCAAGTCAGAATTCAGGCTTCTTTTATACTAAAAAAGGGAGGAGGTGTGGTTGGTTGATGCAAACTCCTTGGTGTTGGAATCCTTTGTTCTTTTGGCTGCCCACATAGGTCAGGTCACTACGTTCCTATGAACCTCCAACAAGACAAATGTTATTCTCTGTTCTGCAACTTTTTATCTCTATATGAGTGGGAAAATGTTATACCCTTAGAGGTCAGAGCCTTGAGAATGGGCTATCCTGTATATTTCAGGCTATAGGCAACATTCTTAACTCAAAGCACAAACAATAGAATACAAAGGTTGAGGTAAAACCAACAGATCTAATATGGAGTCAGATTTGTTCTTCCCTATTACAATAAGAGTATGTTCTGAATGCTACAGGAATACTCAGGAAAGGGAAGTCAGGAAGCTTGTGAGAGGAAATTGTATGAGGAAATGAGTTGACAGCACCAGACCAGTAGAAGTGAACTTCCTTTTCCAGCAGGAGAAATGAAATATTCTAACTGACCCACTCACTGAAAACAACCAAAAATGTTTGATAGACTATTTTAAAAATCTTGCATTTTTTCACATGTGTCAGTGAGCAGGAACAAAATTAAGTCTAAAAACTAGATGAAAACAAGAACTCAGGTCAGCAGAGCAGGAAGCTAGCTTTTGCCCTAAGTACATTCTCCAAACAGGGTGAACTTGAGCTTCATTTTTTCACAGACATAGGGTACAGGGGACGGAAGACTTCCCAGTGTTGTCCCCACAATTGTGGAGAGTCCAGGAGGTCAACCATGAGGATTAAGCTGGGATACCAAAGGTATGTACCCACGGTGTAGAGTGAACTAGAAATAAACATACCTCAACTCTCTTTTTACTCCAGGAGACTGCAAATAAAGCTGTTATTTTTAACTTTAGCTCTGAGTGGAAGAGGAAAAATAATCCCTTGACAAATAGTAAAACTTCAAGCCAGCCCCCCCAAATATTAGAATTCTGAATGCTCAAAACTTAGGTGACTCCAACCCTCCTCCCCCCCCAAAAAAAACCCTCTGAAGATGAGATGTTAGCATAAATCAATTTCAGGTTGGTAACCTCTCAGATTCCTGGCAGTAACAAACACAGGTCTCTCTGGGGGAATTTACCTTTAATCCACATTATACATTATGCAAAGAAATAAGACACCATGAGTGAAAGCCAGCAGAAACAGAAGAGAGAATTATCAGACCCTTCCCTAAATGCTTCATATATGAGAATTATTTAAAACAACTATCATTAGTAAGTCAAAATAAATAGAACAAGATGAAAAATATGTTTTGGGTGCAGAAACTATAAAAAATGACCTTGCAGATCTGAAAAGGTACCAAATAAAATTTCTAGAAATCAAAAATAGAACAATTGAAATTAAAATCTCAATGGTTGAGTTTAACAGCAGAGTAGATTCAGCTGAATTAACAAAATTAATGAAATAGAAGATATATTCCAATTACTATATCTTTAGCAACCAGAGTGCAGCATAGAGAAAGATGCAAAGTCATGGAAAAAATGAAAGAGAAATTAAGAGAAGGGGAGGATAGAGTGAAGTGATCTAGCATCATCTAGAAGAAGAGGAGAAAGAGTATGTCAGAATCTACTAGCCACTCAAAAGGATCCAAACTCTCTATTTCCAGGACACATAGACTGTATTTCTTAGCCTCACTTGCATTCCAGTCAATGAACACAAGAATTATGTGTGCCTGTTCTAGATTGGTTCATAAAACACCTTTCATGTGTGTTCCTCCTGGCTCTTTTCTCCTTCTGGCTGACTTCGGTGGAGATGCCTTTGGAAAGCCATATGTTTAAGAAGCAGTGCTTCTGTCAGCTGGGTCCCTGAATGACCACGTAGAGGAGATTAACCCTGCCTAATTATGCATCTGCTCATGACTGTTAAGAAATAACAGAGATCTATTGTGTTGAGCCACTGCATGTTTGGGTCCATATGTCACCACAGTGTAACTCACTGGACATGTACTAGAGGCAACACTTTAAAGACAATGGCAGATAATTTTCTAGAATGGATGAGAGATCCAATCTCCTATATAGGAATCCAAAGAAATGGAAAGTAGGAAAAACCAGCAAATAAACAAAATCCATACTAAAGTGCATTATAGAGAAACTGCAGAACACTACAGACAAGAAGATCTTAAAAGTAACTGGAAAAAATGCCAAGTTACCTTCAAAGAAATAATATTTCAACTGAGAACTGACTTCTCAACAATAACAATTAAGTCACAAGAAAGTAAATTGATATCTTGAAGATATATTCAGAGAGACAATATTATCTTACAATTGCATGCTTACAGAAATATCTTTCAAGAGTAAATCCAATGTAAAAGCATTTCTAGACAAACAAATACTAAGAATTTATCACCAAAGGAAGCTTACTAAGGAAATACTAACAGATATACTTCAAGTAGAGGGAAAGTGATCCCAGGTGTAAGATCTGAGGATGAATGATGAAAACAAAAATATAAGTGGATAAACTTAAGTATTGACTATAATGTATATATCTATATATATAAAACTATATATATCTATATAGATATAGTCATTTCATTGACTATGTGAAATGACAATTACAGTGTCTTAAGTGGTTCAGAATAATAAAATGACAATACATTAAAACAACAGAATTAAGTCAAGAGCTGGAGGTTGGGATTGAAAAGTTGAGTCCCTTTTATTTGGGGGAAGGAAGTAAAGATATTGAATAAATTTAAACTTTGATGATACAGGCCTGTTACAATTTCTAGAATCAAAAGTGTATATTACTCTAAATTATGAAGGGGGATAAAGTAATGATAAAAAATTGTCAAATGATACAAAAGGCAGCAAGAAAGGAGAGAAAAAAATTTTTTAATGTAGAATAATTAAATGGTCCATAATTAGATGTTTGAAAATACATTTAAGTATATTGTTAGCTACAATAAATATAAATAAGCTAAGAGTTCCAGTTTTAAAAAAGGATTGTTAGCCCAGATAAATATCCAAAATATAGCATATGCTGCTTACAAGAGATACAGAAAAACTATAAGGTCACAGAATAGCTGAAAATCATCAATTGGGAAAAAATATGTTAAGATGAATTCTAACTAAAAGATTATATATATTAATATGTAATAATAATAAAGTATATTATTTTACATATAATTAAAGATTATTATATACTGAAGAATAGAATTAAAAACAATACATTCTAGGTATTAAAAAATTATTGTATAATAATAAAAAGTTCAGTTAACCAGGAATGTACAACAATTCCATCCTTTTAACAACTAAAAACACAGACTTAGAATATATAAAATGAAAACTAACAACATTCAGGAAGAAATTTAAAAATCCATCAACATAGTGGGAGATATTAACATACCTATTTCAAAAACTCATAGAGCAAGCCAAAAATAATCAGCTTAGGTACAGAAAATTTGAACAACATAATTGGCAGATTTATCAGTTGGGTTCATATAGAACAATGTAATCAACAAATGCAGAATAATTTTTTTTCAAGCACAAACCAAACATTTACTAAAATGGAACACATAAAATGGGCCATAAAACTGACTAATAAAAGTTTAAAATATATAGTTCTGCTGACTACAGTGAAATTCGTAGAGATCAACAATAGAAAGCTGACTGGGAAAAAACTCATATATTTGGAAATTAAGAAGTACACTTTTCCACTAATTGTGGGTAAATAAATCACAATGGAAATTAGTTTATATTAAATTTAACACAGAATTGCCAACATGCAACAATTTTTGACCTACAAAAATAGCAATTTTATTAAAATTAACCTAATATTTAGAAATGAACTCTAACCCAAACACTCCATTATTAAAACGTGGGGATATAGCTAAAGCTGTACTATAAGAAAATGTATAGCCTTCCAAACATTTTTTTTAAAAGAAGGTCTGAAACTAAATATGTCAGTTATTTAACTTGTGAAGATAAAACTCAAAGAAAACAAAAGGAAGAAAGTAATGACTGAAGACCAAAAAAAAAGGTGCTTTGAGGGAATTGAAAACAAACAAAAAACCCAGTTTGATTGAATGCAGCACAGGATGGGTGAGAGACTAGTCTGGAGAGTCACACAGGGACAAACCACAATGTGTATCTTTGCCATATTACATTAATTATGAATTATATAAGCTATATTACTTACTCGGTTTATCAAACTTCATTCTCCTAATGAAGGAAGGTCAACGTTGCCTGAACTCACAGTGGGTATTGGCTGCCATGCACAGCCATTTGAAGTCTGAATTTTCAAGATGTTCTGGTCTGTGTGCTTTTTGAATCTTGGATACATACATA